CTGGTATTATTCTGAACCAAGCTAAACTATCTAGTAGAAGGATCAAACACTCCAGAATTGCTGTAAAACCTATTAACCTTTTTTTGTTACTTTATTTTGATGAAAAAATGGAAATTTGATTGCTAAGAATCGTTCGACGTTTAGTGTCAGCAGCAGCAGAACTGAAAAAGATTGTACCAAAAACAGCACTCCAAAAAAACGATTTCATTTACTTGATATTTTTCTCCTTGTAATTTGGAAATAGCGGCCCATTCAATCAACGGATGAGCAAGTACAACCACTGATAACTGAGCACATGACAATAGAAACATAGCGAAATAACAAAATTTTTTTCATACTCGACATGATCTCCATATACTGATAATAACAACACAATTTAGAAAGAGTCCCGCAATAATAGAATAGTGCTTGTCAATAAAGCTGAATCCATTATTTGAAAACAAAATATTGTTTGACCAAGACTTCACACAAAACACTTATGTGTTCATATGCTCAAATTTACTCTATAAAAAATTTGCATAATTGCTTAATACATTATGTATGAATGGTAGTTACTCGTCAGCAAGAATGAAATAAAAAGTGAAGAATTAACATGCAAATTCCTTACTTTTTGGTGCACGTAACATCTTCTAAATACGTTATCAAGGCAATCTTTAAAAAAAGAGGACAAAAACCAAAACTCATGAAACAGAAAATACGTTACTATATGAACACTTTCCAAATTTAGACGAAATATATTTTATGCATCTTGTTTTATAATTCATGGCACTAAATTATAGTGTAAATAAAAACATACTATAAACTAAAGAAGGTAAAGTTCAAGTACTAAGCTTCAGTTTCAGTAAAAAATATAATGCCTTATGTTTACAAAACAAATCTTCATTGAACAAGTGAGATAAAGAAAAGGATTACAATACTCAAAACGTTCTTGGCAGCTGTTAGAGCCAGAATCAGTTATTTTACAGGTGATTTAATTCATAAAAATCAATTGACTTGTTCTTAATGCATAACTGTTTTCCCTTAGTCTATAGTATTTTTGAAAAAATATTTTTATCGTGCGATCTCACAAAGACTCATAAAATGTTTTAGCTATTTGTGTCGTTCAATCAAGCGAATCGTCGTATATATCTCGATACAAATGAAATTATGAACTCAAGAACGACCATAAGTGTATGATTATTATTCAAAATTCCTAAATGCTCTTTAAGCTTACAATACATAGAAAAAGAAAAAAAAATCCCGAACTGCAATCAAGAAAAAAATTTTTAGCATATATTTCATGGACCTGAGCTCGTTATAACAAGACTTCTATACTTTATTGTAAGACAAAATGCTAAATCGTCTTGATAAAAAATGAAATTTCATAATCTGTTTTTGGTTAGTCATACTTTATTGACCCACGCCAAAGGTATTATTTTGTTTTTAAAAACATATAAAACACTCTAAGTGCACTAAAGCTGATTCGGAAAAAGACTTATAAAAAAAAAACTTTGCAAATTTTCATAGTGCAATGACTACTATTTATATACTGCTAATGACTTGGAAGCATCAGTCTATACCAGTAACACCTCAACTTACCAACAGTCCTATGACTGAACAATATAAAGCGTTAACTCAATGGCTTATTTCCTCAAATTGCTTCAGTTATGTCAGCACAAACTGACCAACATGATTGAGCTATGTAAGTAGCATTCACAATTAAACTTCTACGTATACAAACATGTGTTGATAATCCATGTTCGCAATTTTCCTTTTTAATATAACTTGGCCTACTCAAATGATGATCGTTTGCGTTTAGATATTTGATGATTCCATTGGCGTAGCCAGCCCACAAATTTGGTCCTGCTATGTTACATTTTTTGTGTTCACTCACTGTTAAAACCATTGATTTCTAAAGAGATGAATAATACCAATAATCTAAAATTTTAATAGCAGAATTGAAACTTGCGTGCTGGCTACGCCACTGCATGATTCTCCAAATATACTTTTGTGTATAAGACCTCTAATTTGACTGACGTGGAAAACATCAATACCTATCTTAAACATCAGTTAAAAGAGTATATTAATTCAGTAAAGGCAGTTAAATTATAAGTAAAATCGCTTGGAAATGCGTGATATGATCAGCAATGACATTGCCAAACAGTAAGCATCAAAGGAAGAGTAAAACCTTCATAATTACGCTATAATTTGATCTGTAGCACTTGAAAGTATTTTCTGGTAAATGCTTATTAAATGATCCTGACAGGAATGTCATTTACAAATTCTGTGCTCTCTGGTTTTTTGTTTTTCAGTGAAAAATAAAAAGCAGAATAATGATTGTCTATCAGAAATTAAAATGTTGAAGAATACCCGACGCCAAAAACTTTTATAGAGAAAGGCAATATATATGGAAGAAGTTGAGAATAGGTGGGTAAAATTATGTTTTATTTGTTAGATTGTCCCGTTTTGTACGTGTGTTTCTGTTATTAGCAACAAACAACGAATAAAAGAGACTCCTCCTTAAGCTCAACGTTTGTCACTGACAGACATAAGGTACTAAGAAATTTAATATGAAATTAATTAAGACCCAAAGAACAAATTAATTGTCTTCATGTTGGATTACATTTGCACAGCAAAAAAGGAAAATGCTTTGTGAAAATAATCCAACATGGTAGTCAAGACGTAGTTTGCACACACACTTTCCTTTGTATCAATGGTCAACAAACTCCAAAATGGAAACAATGATTTAACTTGGTGAGCCTGGGCTGATCTATACCGTTTTCATACTGCAATCATATCGTGTTGAAGTATGAAGTAAATACAAGCAAGTTCAATGTTCAAAACTTTTTCTTCGTAGCATCAAAATATTAAAACAATTATGAACACATTGCATTTCTTATTTTCCAATTTTTGAGGAGTGCTGCACCGCGCCTATTTCCCCTCACGTTTCATTGACTTGAGAAATGCAAGTCTTGTGTGACTACCAGACAATGAATAAAATTTTATGAATGCATTTAGGAAGGATGTGTTTCGATAGAGATGTTAGTATTTTTTGTTTACCGGTTGAAGTGCCATTTTAAACAGAAACGTTTGTTCTACCAAAATTTTGTAGATAATACACATGCATGCGATGCTTGTCTGATGGGTTGTTTTATATAAGCTCTACATTTCACTATGAAAATTTTTCATAGATTTTTTTATAAGACTTAGCTGAAGTATGAACTTTAATTACTTGTTTTTCGCAAAAATACTGAAAAAATGAATCGACAATTCCTAATTTTTGCACGAACAGAGCATATTTCACAAGTTTAAGGAAGAATGGTATAGTAGCAAATATTTTTGGATTTAAAACAGTGACAAAATTGAAATGGTAACTAGTGTTACCATTTGCGACCAATTTCTGATATAAAAAGTAAATCGTCTTTAACCATATAGTTGCCCTATTTTTCACAAAGCTGATCTGGCATGATTTGTCCAAATGTTTTTAAACTAAAGAAAATGGAGCTTAAACATCAAGTTCCGATAAAGGCAAAACTAAAATAATGCTTATCGCAACAAGTATAAATTAGCATAACTATCAAAAATGAATTTGTTGCAAAGAGACGCATGCAGATGTTGACAGCTTTTAAATATGCAATCGTTCAATCTTTTTACCAATTTTATCTTATATTGGACACACGAATTGACTTTTCCTTTTTGCAAATATCTGTTTCTCTGAGTAAGTAGCTTTCTAAAAAATAAGGTTCTTCTTCTGTACCAACCCATAAAGATAACTAAAATGTTTTTGTTATATTTTCTTATCTGAATATTTGCCATTAGGCTGGTTTCAAACATTGCATTTTATATGCACCAAATGCATTGAAAATAGAAGAGAACGAGATAAAATTTCTCATTATCTGTCGTTTAAATCGCATTAGGCTCATGTAAAACGTGATATTATAAACGGTCTGAACTCTGCCTTCAATTTGAGTTTTCATGCGTAATGCATTTCATCTACAAACGCATATCCAGAAAGACTTGGTAAACAGGAGATACTCAATTGTCCTCTCATGCTTCGAAACAGACATAACCCACTAAAGTTTTAAAGCTTATTCAGGGCGAGCCTGTTTAGTCATGAGTCATCCATCATTACCGTAATGATATAAATATTATGTGGGCCCTGGCTCAAATTCGCTGTATGAATGGTGTTTATCCACACCGAACAATGCATTTTAAAGACCTTAATACGAAATATCGTGCATCTATGTAAATAAGAGCCAATATTGTAAAAGTGGGGGCGCTTGGGAGAGGCGCCCCCTTTCTACCTTTGAAATGGGTAATTTTTCATAATTTCATGTCTTCAACTTCGTCAAGAGAGCCCCCATCTGATAAATTTAGTTCTACAGCACTGCTAAGAGCCTTCATGACTATCGAGTTTGCCATGTCATTGGTATCCACGGTTGATTTTAACTATCGGAAGACCATGAGTTGGCAAAAATTGATCACGCAAAAACTTATATATAAAACTTGAAAGCCATTTGAACGATGCACTTGTTTTTGTTATACGATGTAATTTGCTTAAGTTGTTCTCGAAGAAATGCTCGAGAACTGTATTGGATTATCAGATATAATAATCTACTAGCTTAATATATTGATGGTCTTTTTGACATTGAACGTCGTGCACAGCAGGTTTGTGTGCATATGCAGGAAAGCAAGTTGAGAAGTATGCTTGTTAAAGGAAGTTTTTTACCTTGTGCCAAAGTTCTTGCAGCATTGCAAACCACGGCTGAACAAGCATTTGATCTTTTAACACTGGACAGGACTGTGGAGATCTTTTTAAAAATAAGATAAGTGAATATGTAGAAATGTTTTGTAATGAAAACAAGAATATCACAGATGTGATTTTAAATTGCATTGGCTGTGTTGGTGGACTGTGTATTTTGTGTTTTATTCGTGTAAGTGTGCATTGTATGTCAGACCATGAAGGAATACTTTATAAATAATGTTGAGTATATTGTTGCAGATGTTGAAGAAAAATTAAGTTGTAAAAGACAAACCAGATGAACTCGAAAAATGAAGTAAAAACTCTTGCAAGAAAAGGAATTGACGAAAGTATATTAATGTCTGATGAACCTAATCTTGGAAGTTATCTTCTTTAGATAATCATTTAGATAATTGGTACATCCATAATGTGTATTGTCATTGAATTTGTAGCTGGCTTAGTCAGAGACACAAAGAAAGATAAGAAAGATGAAAATATTCACGAAATTAAAAAAAGTATTTTCATTACTGGTTAAACAATTATTCTTTTCTTGAGAAATTATTGATTTTTGTTGTACTCCCAATGTATTTAGTATAAATCATGATACTTTTTGTATGAGAACCATGTTCACCTTAATTAGTAACATTTTAATATTCTTCATGCATTTTAAACAACAAATTGCAATCAAAATATATCATCATTAAAGTTTTGTACCTATGATCAAATACATTACTTGTTTTTGCAGCAAAACTTTACCAGCCTGAAGTTTTGGTCAAGTAGCATGCATGAACATTTTCAAATGAATTGGAGACTCCACAACTGCCGTACGGGTTTTTAATGTTTTGGAACGAAAAAATGTTGTGTGTTACATTTGCAGACTTGAAGTTTGTGTAACAAATGTAACTCTCATTGAAGGCAATCCAACTTTTGAAAAGAAAAAGACCTCACTAGATCAACTTGTAAATGATTAGAACTGTGTCTAATTATGCATGGAGAAACCATTATTGACGATGTTTCTTTTACCTAACTTGATGCCAACGCATTGTTTAAAGTTGTTTTAATACAAAAACATAATAAAGCCACGGATTAATATTTGCAATTTGCTTGGTAATCATAGTAGCCTTGGAATGAAAGTTATTTCTAGAATTAATTAAAATTTTTTAGAACAATCGACTAGTAATCACTTTTTCTTAAAATGATCCTACTTTATTTTCTTCAAATAATTGACACTTGAATAACTTGAAGTTTTAATACCCCTATGTCTTATAAGCCTATTTTACAGGTCTATTTTAACAAATCTCCTGTTTTATCCTTCTATAATGCTTAACTCTAATAAATATTTTACATCAAATATTTCTGTAATCCCCTGTGCATATTTTTTTGCGTTTTTTCTTAGGATTAATGATCTTACTAACAACACTATATATCACTGGTGAACTTGTTATTTGCCGATTATGTTCATGTAGCAACAAGAACATTAATTTTTTCATATATGTGCTTTCCTCAACGTCTTCAATCCTTCACGATGTAGTATAGAATTTTTCCAAAAAAATACAAGACAATTGAATGACGAGTTAATTGCCATTATGGTAAAGGTCCATAATCTAAGATGGACTTCCATTACGCTGTACGTTGACGAACGAATTACGTGGCTTGTGTAGACTGACCAAGCAGCACATGGAAGTGTGAAAACCATCAAACATATGACAAGTAGAAAAGTTGGCAATGTCTTCTGAGACTTTTTCGTTTTTAGACTGATATTTTCCGTTGATATAGTGGATACGGTACTTTTTTTTTTAGATTTTGCAGTTTTATACATTTCAAAATTGAGGTACACAAGAACAACTGAGATCAAGGTAATGGAAATGTATAACATGCCTTTTAAAGCACGAAACAAAACTAAGCTTCCTGATAGAATGAAAAAACAGTTCAGAATTGCCGTGAAACCTACTAACCTTTTTTTTGTGACATACTGCTGATGAAAAAAGGGAAATTTGATCGCCAGGAATCGTTCGAAATTAAGTGTCAACGACATTACAACTGAAGGACTTTGCGCAAGGAAAATTATAATAATGGGGACGCCAGTTTTAACTTTATCTTCATGTAATTTCCAGTAAGTCATCCATGCAATTGAAGGATGGACAATTACGACCACAGCCAAGTCAGCACAAGACAATAGAAGTATCGTGAAATAGCAAATTTTATTTCTCAATTGTGATGACCTCCGTATACTGATGATAACAACAGAATTTAGAAATGTTCCTGCACAAAAAAATCCAAAATTAAAAAGCCACAATAGAACAGTGCTTGTAAATGGCAAAAAAGTCATTGTTTGAACACAGAAATTTCTTCTAAATTGATGTTCCGTATAGACAACTCTCATGTGATGTTTGCTTATTTTAGTTCATATGTTCAAGTGCGAGTTTTGAAATTTGCATAAGTGTTTTCCATAATGGATAACGTATGAATTTTAATTACCCATCGTATTTGGTTATCAATTGATAAATAGAATGAAAAGAAAGTAACTAGTGGTTATTGTGTTCACGTAACATATAATTTGCGAAGATAGATGTTTTCAAACTTTATGTGGGAAAGCGGTGACAAAAATTGAAACAGGTGTTAATGATATTTTACCATGTGATCAATATCCAGAATTTGAGCAAAGTTCATGAATACATCCATGCCTTATTCTTATGCAACTGATCGTGTAAATGTAGAATTAGTCAAATCAATGTTCAATAATTAAACAGTATAGAGCACAAGTATTAATACTGCTTAGAGCGTTACCTCTTGGTATGAAATCCAGTTAGCTGAATGAGAGATGGAAAATTATAACTATAAAATATGAGTTTTTCAATTTAGGCAGGTGCGTCAGCATTTACATTCATAATTAATGGACTAATTGCATAGATAATTTCATTTTGCTCAACTTTATCGAAATGGCTTGTTCTTTATGCGTGCCTGCTTTACCTCAGTTATTACATAATAATGTTCCAATTTTCGAAGCATTTTATAAATGGAAAATTGTTTTTGCTATTGTTCTCTACAACACAGGAGGCGTTTTTCTGATCTCAATTTTTTTTTAACATTACAAAAACAAGTTTTCTGTTCCATTGCAACAGGATAAAATGTTTTGAAATATAACGTTTCCCTCAACAGGAAATCAATCAAATATCAACACCTATTATAATATACAAGATGCTACACAACAAAGTAAATGTTGCCTGCTATTACAGAGACATATAGAAGCAAAGTTTTTCTTTGTGGGAGGAATTTTACATATTACGCAAAGTGTGTACAATAGAAAATTTAAAATGTCCTTTAGATTATCTTTACGCCAAGGTATTTCGTTATTTTAATGTAGTTTATAAAACAGTGAAAACAGTTAGAAAAATTTGTGTGCACAATGGGAGATCGGTTTATGAAAGTAGTGTTTTTAATTGGTTGCACAAAGAGCATGAGATGTTCAAAATCAAATTTAATTAAAAAGTTTCATTTCATGCCGGTTTTAAAAGACTTTTTCACCAATAGCCAATATTGTAACTTAAGCTTGCCAATATTTGCAACAATCAAGGCTATAGAAACACACATGGCAAAAACGTGGACATAAAAAAGTAGCAAACCTATTTTAATTTTATGTCTTTGAATTGAAAAAGCTCCATCACAACAAACCCTTGCAAAAATTTTGCAAACAGTGAGCTGCCTTTTTTCAAAGTAAAATTTTTTTTCCTAAAGCGAGACATAAAAACTTTGCATAAGAAATAGGAATACAGTTGCATACAACAATGTAGATAATTGAAGATTTTTAAATTGCACAAGCATAAATTTTCGGTTGGTCTTTTAATTTAGATAAAAATGAACTAATTTGATCTTGTAATGTTGAGCTTCGTGCAAGAAAATATTGAAAACTATCACACAGATATCTTCTTTGTTTTCTCCATCTGTTTTTCTAATAGTCGAGGAACTATAGCTCTATATAGTATGCTCAAAATGCTATGTAGTAAAACAGATACTCACTCGCAGCTGCGTGGTATTGCGAACATTTTTTGCAAGCAAATTTTTGCAAATTATGCCGTAAAAACGCAAAAAATCGCGTTTCCAACTATCTAAAAATCAAAATTTTCCGGGGGAGCATGTCTCTGGACTCCGCGCCTTAGGCGCTCAAAGTGCATCATGAAAGTCTACTTTCATACAATACATCCCAGTATTTTTCAGCTTTAATAATACTGACACTTGTGATATAAATATTTTAGCATTTTAGCTCTATACTCAGTCTTCTGTGTGTGATTGACGCTTTTTCAGGAGAATTGATATTCCTACAAAAATGAGCATGTTGAAATAAAAATTTATGTTTTGTTTGATTTATATCCACGAATTAACAACAAATTGCATTAGTACTATTTTTTGCAAAATTGTACTTTTTTGACAATCTTTAATCCATCACGACGTAATATGGAATCCTTCCAAAAAAATATCAAACAATTCAAAGATGAATTCATTGTTAGTATAGTAAGAGTCCAAAGATAAAGATATAAGTTTATTTTCTTTGGCGTGCGTAGTATGAAGCTTCTCTAGATGGCAAAAAAGCACGAGGAAGCGTGAAAACCATTTAACATACAACAAGAGAAAAAGTAGGCAATGACTTTTTTGTTTTGAAACTATCTTTGTGTTTTGATACAGAGGATACATTTCATATCTTTGTGTTTTGATACAGAGGATACATTACATATCTTTGTGTTTTGATACAGAGGATACAATTAAAAAGCAACAACAGAACGGTGCTTGTGAGAGTACTTAAAGCCATTATTGAAACATAAAGAGATCCTCACCAAAGTTCGATGAAGAGTAAAAATGCTAAATTTGCTTAGTAAAGTAAAATATTTAAAATTGCGTTGTAGAAATTTTTTATAATGTTTTTTTGTATAATGCATATGTATGAATTATAGTCAAGTTCGATTATTCGTTCTAAAAATGAAAAGAAATCTAGGAAACTAAAATTCCAGGTTCTTGCGAATATTTAGCGTAACATTTTACTAAATTTTCAAAAAAGTTAAATCCTGGCGAGTATTTGTCGCAAAACAAAGGCAAAGACCGAAACAGGTGCCAATATCTACATTGTTTTGCCAAGCGAGCAGTGTTTAAAATTAGAACCAAGTAAACTCTATGCATCCAGCTGGATGTATATGCTACTGTTTAAAATACGACAACACTAACAATTAATGAGCTATAAGACCACCCTTCCCATATATTATTTGAATAGCCTACAGCATGCAAAGTTTACATTATATTTGATGATAAATTAAGACGTATTGCGTAATAGATTTAAAAACATGCACTGTGATATTCTTTTTCTTCAAATTATTGCACTATGTTAACAGATATTTAAAACGTCTGTTCTGACAATTTTGGCTCTTTATTGAATATCCTTTCTCTGATAAATAATTCAGTTTAATATTACTGTGCGTGTTTAAAAAAACCCGAAAAAACAACAAGTGGAAGTGTTGGCAATGTCTTCTGAGATTATTATGTTTTGAAAACAAGTATTTTTATTTGACTTATTGGATGTAACTTTTCCTTTTTTTAATGTTGTAATTTTATACATTTGAAAATTTTATTAAACACGGGTTACTGAAAACAATGACAGAGCAATAAATAACATACCCAGCTAATGAAACAAGGAAGCAATCTAGCATTGCGGTGAAACTTATTAACC